TAGTACATAGTAAGAATCTAGTAAATCTTTATTGAATCAATCATTCAATCAATCAGTCTATGCCCCTCTTCTGCCTTGATCGATACCCAATTCTAAACTCTTCTTTCTGGAATGCTTTTTCCTGACCTCTCTTCTGACAAATCACCTCATTGATTTCTCCTTTGTGACAGGTGTGGCTTGATCATATAGGCATATGCCCCGTCTTCTGGACTGGGGACAAGAGTTCCCCTGGGCTGGGACTGTGACTTCTGCTTCCAGTGATCCTCCCACCTTCCTCCTCCATGCCCTCCCCAGGCTGGTTTGGGTACAACCTGCACCCAGCATCATCGGTTCCAATGGAAAGACTGATTGTCTGATTGAAAAGTTGATGCTGGGGCAACAGGGACAGGGTTCAGGGGACAGTGGAGACTTTATGGGGTCGGAAGCAGCACTTCAAAAGGGCTGAGACCCTGCTCACTTGGTGGCATCTGAGAGGACAAGGCCAGATCACATCTCACCAAGGGGGCATGCCACATCTCCCCTCTCCATGCATGCAGGAGCTCCGAAGCTACCCCTACAACTGGAATGGCAGTGTGGCTACTGGGGAACCCCTCATCCGACCCCTCATCCACCTCCTCATCACCACTGGACAGATTATTTTTATAACCCTTAATGCCTCATCCTCTTCTTCCCAGAGAAAGACAGTGGTCTGTGCAGCCAGCCATGTGACATTGGTAAATCTCTCTGAGCCTCAGTTTCCTCACCTGTAAAATGGGGTGATACTAATACCCACCACTCCAGATTACTGGGAAGATTAAACAATTTTGCTTATGCAAAGCACCCAGCACTTCATTCCCATTCTCTGTTACTCACCTTGATCATACGGGGACCACTGCTCAACACCCCCGCCTCCCAGGAGTAAGAGGGATTTTCAGCAGACAGGTAGAAAAGCTAACTTATTTTGCATTTCTAGAGCCACTGAATCTCCTGAGGTGATTGTCAAGAATGAAGGTGTCCTGGGACTTACCCCAAACCTATTAAATCAGAATGTTTTGGGGGGCGAAGAATGCTTGGAAATCTGCATTTCTAACAATCACCCCCAGTAATTCTTGTGCCTATTAGATCGACAATCATTATTCTGACCATGATAATGATGACCAAGACAGGGAACCTAGGAGTCCCCTCTTGCCAGTCATCAGGGGGACAGGCTGAATTCCTGACAAGTCCCATCTGTTGGTGAATTTGGGTCTATAAAATGCTGGAGGCTGCAAACAAGGATGGAAATTCCCATTTACAAACAAACTGATAGAACCTTGGAGGTCCAGTTACCGTCACCAGAAAAAGTGGGTAACAATTGTCTTTCTCCCAAAAGGGACTGTGAGCATTTGAGGAGATCCACCCAAGTGGCCACCC